TTCATGTATTTGTCCCTTGCTCTTGCAGTTAGCCAAATTAATTACATGAAAAGTAAAGCAAGTAATTCTATTTTAACGTAGAAGAATACCTCTCAAGCTATACAGATTTGGTGAGTCTTGCAAGACACTATATAATTGTTTATTGTTTTGCATGTTGTATAGTTTTGATTCTTTCAATGCTCTTTTTAAGTTTAAGTTATAGACATTTATTAGATGCATGTATGCTTCCTATTATGCCAAGCTTGTAAAGTACCTGTCCTGTAAAAATTTTTTTGCACACACACTTATCTATGAGTTCTGTCTTTAATGTTAGGATAAATGATAGTTAGAAAAATAATAAACTACTATTTCTGTTGTTTTATGTAGTTTTATTCACTCAATATCTAGAAATTTGCTAACTAAAGTGAATAGTTGCATCAAATTAAATAATGATAATAATATTCTATACTTGTACATTATTCGTCCATATTGTCTATTTTTTATGACTGCTCTGCTCTCATTTTTTGTTTTTTCAAATCTTTTTTGCTCTTTTATCTGGATATGTCTGATGATAGTGCATGATTCCATTAAACTGTGAAAAATTTTAATTTGAAAACAATGTTCTTACATTAAGCTGGAGATTTGTAAGAATGAAATGGGATATAATGAGATGTCATTTTAAGTCAATTTTAAGTCATTTTAAGTACTGTTAGGACAATGAAGTTATATCAAAGTCATATTGTTACATGTACATATGTGTAGGCATGTCTTTGGGTAGTTATACCATAGTCATTATGTTACATACATGTAGGCATGTCTTTCGCTCTTAGCATGTTGGTTAGCTGCTTCAGTTATTTTTATTTTTTGTTAAAAATCTAATGTACACTTATGTGAATTCCTGGTCCACTCTGTTGGTCTAATTTGTAGTGTACAGCCATTGAGAACTTGTTTACAATAATAATGAATTAGCAACAATAAATATTGTTAAAAATTAAAATTATAAACACTTTATTATTACAACCTCATGGAAAAATACAGTAACTTAAAAACAAAAGATTGTAGAGCTAGTCAACTTTGTAGAAGTTGTACTTACAACCAAGTTTTTACAGACCTATTCAGGTACACACATTATGTAACACTAAGTTTGATACACGTAAATCTACATGTAGCTAGACACACTGAAAAAGGTAAACTGATGCTTGTAAAAATGCTAACAAGGCAAAACTCAAAGTTTACCATGATGCATGTCGCATTCTATTAATACATGTAAATAAACATAAATGAATAAGTAGAAATGCACTGTGCTACAGAAATATGACTATTGTACCTGTCATGAACTTACTACAAATGGAGAAAAAACGCAACTCGTGTAAAGTTGTACATGGTAACATGCATGTATGAAAATAAATAAACTAGGAGTGTATATATCACAACTAAAACCTTATCAATGCAGCAAATACTATATAGAATTATGACTTGCGACTAATGAAACTGATTTTATACAATCATCAGTGCTATGAAACAATCACCACGAAGCTATTGTAGCTCAATTCAAAAACCATTTTGCATGTTGTATAGTTCTGATTCTTTCAATACTCTATTTAAGTTTAAGTTATAGCCATTAATGGATATGTGTATGTTTCCTATAATGCTAGCTTGTAAAGTACTCCTCCTATAAAATGTTTTTGCACACACACACTTATGAACAACAATAAATTTTGTCGTTCATTCTAGGATAATTGATAGTTAAATAATAATAAACCACTATTTCTGGTTTTTTGTAGTTTTATTATTTCCCCAATATCTAGAAATTTGCGTAATAGTTGTATTGACATAAGTAACAATAATAATGCACAATACTTGTACAATATTTGTCCATACTGTCTACTTTGTATAACTGCTCCGCTCTTTTTGTTATCTATTTGCTTTTTTATCTGAATATGTGTGATGATGGTGCATGATTTCATTCAATTGTACAAAAAATCTCAATTTGAAAACAATGTTGTTACATTCAGTTGAATACATATGGAAGAATGAAATCTGAAAGATTGATGATGGCCTTTCTAAGTCAATTAGTACAATCACTGTTGATATTTTGTCATAAAAATATAGATTGTTTTGTATTGGGCCACTTTTATCATCTTCTGATTTTTTAGGTGCCTCTGTGAATGATGGAGCAAGTGAATAACTTCATTGAAATGTATAATTGTAATAATAAAAACAATTTTTGAATTAATTAAGGTTAAAGTAACCATTGTACATCTCTCTCTGTAGGTTAGACTTGATCACAGTTATTGAAAAGTAATTCACGCGGAATTTGAGTTGATTATCATTACGACTTTATGATTGGATCATTTCCAGTGGAACAGAACGATGCTGTTTATTTTTTTTTGCATTATTGTATTTTTAATATTAAAAATTATTTTGCAATTAAACAATCTCTTGAACAGGCTACACAAGAATAAAAAAAAATTACCAGACTGGCAAGCAAAATGAAACAAGCACATTAAACTGTGAGGCTAATTGCAAACACTTCTGAAATATTATTATTAAAATTGTCTCTTTATAAAATAATTTTTGATAGCTTACTGAGAATGGTAGCAAAGGCAGAGATATTATGAAAAAAAAAATTCACTTCGTCTTCCTTAGAAATAATACGCCATCTTTGATCTTGTGTCATTTCTGGATACCTCTGTATATTATAAAACTGGCGGGAAATATTAATTGAAAGGTGGGGTTAAGTTATGACGTCATATTAGTCAAACCATTAATAAAAATGGCCACCAGTATGTACTTCCTGACTATTGTTTATTTAGCTGTTTCATCAGGTGAATGCAGGCTCTACGAAGCTGTAAAGCTTGCAATCGTGGTGTAATGAAGGCAAACACTCAATCAAGTTAGTATGCAGTAAATGCTTTTGTGATACACTGATGTTTGAAAGTGAACAAAACTCTATGAGAGATTGCAGCCCATTTTGCAAAACTTGAAGAACTTTTGCCAAGTGATGGAACATACGTCAATAGAAAATAGTATTATAAAAACAATCATATTACTAAAAATTAAAGTACTCTCATCATGTTCAAGAATTCTTTACTCAGTTTTCAACCATTTTAAAAAGTTAAGTAAAGTTTATTGCGTCTCACTATTGAGAAAAAATTTGAAAAAACTATATGTTGTAGAAAAAGTATAAAGGAAACAATTTGTGTTCCGAAAACTAAATTGTGCGTTCAGCCCGTTGTACCTTAAACCACAGGAAGAAACCTAAGAGCACAACAATAAGTCCATGCATCATTTCAATAGCTATGGCGTGAGAGACCAGGTCGATACTTCCGCATTACATGATAATGCACATCTTCCCAATAATGATCGTCTTAATACACATGATATTCCACCTTCTGATGATGATAGAACAGTACTACAAAATAATATGGCAATTATGGCAGGTATTTTGTACATGAAGAAATTGATTGTAGGCATAATAAGTTTATGTACATTAAAAATATGTATCTATAGGAAGTATAGTTAGGAAATACTGTTCTTTTTTCAAGAAATGGGTCAAACCTGTTACACCTGACATACCTCACCAATATACAAAAGAAATGTCCCAAAAATCTGAAGTGTAAGTGCAAGCATCTGACTTTATTAGTAGATTCCTCTTGGAGTACTATGAAAAAACAAGATAAAAAATAAGGAAATGACTGATGTCATGAAGCATCTTCAACAGTTTGTCCCCATAGAATCAGAAGAGGGTGAAGTAGAAGATCCTGCAAACGAAGAAAAAGTTAAAATGACACATGACCATTTTCACTATATTCTCTTTGGTGGTGATCAATTGACTGTTGAGAGGGCATTTGGAGTTAATAACTCAAAGCAAAGTGAGAACTGTGGACTTGATCAAATTAAAGGATTGGTGCCAGTAATAGAGGACTGGCATGCTAAGGTTATTTTTTTGAAGGTATATGTCTCTGAGTATCTAATAATCACACTTCATATACATGCATGTACATGTTGCTATAATTGTCATTCACATAATTGTTATTTCTATCAATTATACAGGCCATTTGGAAGATTTTATATAATACTTCCTCTGGTTCAGATAGTGGCACACTGTTCGAACTCAAAAACCTGAAGATGAGGAGCTCAGTAACAAAAGAAGTCAAGAGTGATCCCACTGCTTGTGAGGATTTCTTTATAGTATTCTGTGGAGCTCATGTTTTACAGGTGGCCATGGAAAAATTTAATATCACTGGACTAAAAGATCAACCAGCAAGTGATGATGATAAATTTGGCTCTCAGTTCTAATGACTCAGTAAAGATGAGAGGTCCAAATTCTTTATGCAGGCTGTTAGTGAAATTATTTCTCGTTTTACACATGGGTTTAAAGTTGAAGTGGCAGAACGTAAACTGACACAGTCAGATAGAGTTCTCCCATTCTAAAGATTGAATGACTCTAGGACTTCTGTACCTAGAGTTTGCGATAGAATACATGAGGGGGATGTTACACTGATACTTCATGTTGGCGTTTTTTTTACTCCTAGTATTTAAGGCAAAGAACAAGAGGAAGTATGCCATACAAGCGGCTACATTACTTATGCACAATCACTTTTTGTTTACTGAACAAATGAAACATTAACTGCTTTGGAGCCGTACTGTCAATGTGCATGGGAGGATTGGAAGGAATGTGCCAATGGACTTGATATGGAACACCTCAATGGAGAGCTAAAGTGTGCAATGCGTCACCTAGGTGCCAATGTTAGTACAAGCTCAATTTCACGTATTGGATATAGGCTAAATAAGTTCTACCATGCCTACTGCAATTGACCAATCAGATTGCGTCATACGAGGTAAATATAATCGCTTATTTACCTCGCTGAGGTAAACATGGCCAACTTATTAAAATTGCCTAACAGGTTTTCTCCTCGCGGACAGCCCGGAAGCAAACAGGTTTCTAATTATTTACCTCAAAGCATAGCTATGGCGTCTGGAGTAATCATTTTTAGCATAGAAAGCAGCAAAGAACATTTAAAAGAAAGAAAAAAAGGCTCAAAAGCATTGGGCCATCAGATCAACTTCTTAATGGGTGGAGTGGAATTGGAAAGGCGTGTTCTGGGCGTGTTTTACTGTACACACATGGCATGATGCCAAGAGTGGAGAAGAGATTTTACCGTTTCTTTTAACAAAATGCAAAGAAGTAAAGAGGCCTTCTACTTTTATAAAGCCTTGCTAACCATGGGCAGTTTCTTAGCTACGGATTTGGCATGGTAGAAGTCTGTTATACACCTCGGTCTCAGTTGCTATGGGTTTATTTACCTCGGGACTGCGTCCCTCGGTAAATCAATCCCATAGCAACCTCAACCTCAGTGTATAACCTGTACTTAATAGACATAAAGGAGAATTATGATGAAGAAACTGGTATTCCTGTGGAGTCAGGATTCCATACAACTCTATCCTTGCTTAAGGATATTACTCTTGCAATTGAAGAGTTGAGAAAAGCCAATGCTTTTGCAGAGATACCACAAAGAAAGCATAAACACTTCAAGTCTTTCAAACATAATGTGGCTGCATTACTCAAAAATTCAGACCTCAAGTCTTGGCTTGATGATCATCTAAATCATCTATTATGCTAGTGTATTATCTATATTAATTTTAAACATTTTGTTGAATTAACATCTACTTTAATTCAGTGTCAATTTAGTGTCAATTTACATAGACAATATTAACAAAACAATAAATAATTATTAACAATAATAGGCTAGTACATAATACAATTAAATGAAATTTCAGTGAGTGAGAGAAGAAAGTGAGATAGCATAAAATAATAAGTTAATCACTGTAATATTTACAAATACATGAAAGACTACAGATGTCACAACACTTGCATTCAACTTGTTTATTTGATACATTTAGTCCAAAATCTTGACAAAGAACAACTCTACGACACAACTGCTTATCTGTACAATACTTTTTAACATAGGCGGCTGCAGAATTTTGAATTTACCCAGGCTCATTAATTATTCATAACAATTGGGGGTGTGGTCAATTAATTCAATAACTGAACATTAATAATACTAGCCACTTGAAGCCAGTTACCACACAAAAATAACTGTAAAGATGAACTGATACTGTGTATAAACAGTTGTGGTTATAAAAAATAAATTATAGTGATAATCTCACTCCTAATAATAACAAAACACACCTTTTGGGTGTGGTTTTGATTGAAAGCTACCAAGGCATAGCCAGGGCATGCCTGGGCCTGCAGCCGCCTATGCTTTTTAATGCTTTCTTCCATAAATGATAATGATAGATCCCTCATAGAGTAAAATCGTTTTACAAATGAAGTTTCCCCATCTCACCCAGCTCATCCATTTTCCTGTATATAAGTCTCAACGTCTAATGGTGGACTCCAATGTATTATGTGACGTATATTAGGAATATCTACTCCCATGCCAAAAGCTATAGTAGTAAAAATAATTGCAGCATTGAAGTGGAAGATGCAATTGACTATAATATTGAACTCTTTAATGATGAACTATTTGATGCTGTGAACACTTCAAAAAGACGAAATCTATGAATGTCACACGTTCCAATTGGGCCTGTTTTTTTCTTACCTAATCTACTTCTAAAAAACAATGACAGCTGGCTACAATCACTATAAGTACGACAAAAAACCAATGTTTTCTCCATTTTTGTCCGTTTTCTATGCAATTCTTCCACAATTACACTAAATACATCTTCTATTTATCCTGTTTTCAGTTCGACACAATATGACATTCAATCTGTCAGGTGATCTGATGACTAGCTCAGTGTTAGACATTCCTAGTGTCCTTATTACTTCTTTTCTTGTAGCTGTTTCTGTTAAAGCCATAAAATTCAGTCGGATAGGAAAATACCCTCTTAGGTCACCAAGTTTTCCAAACTCTTTTCAAAACTTTAATCCCCTAAAACAAAAATTATTTAACATTTTTGTGCAGTTAGGAATCTTTCTCCTTACCATTTCTTTATACAGTGAGCCTCATCAAATACAAAGGCTACTAACAAAAATTACTTAACATTTTGCAGTTAGGAATCTTTCTCCTTACCATTTGTGACCATAATTGACAAAAAGGTACCTTATGGCGGGTAGTGAAATTTGTCTTTCTAGCCTAAGAAATCCAACTTCCTGAGCCCCATTCATCATAAAATTACTCCACAGGATGCAAAAAGTTACCATAAAACTTTTAGAAACAATGATTGTCTAACAAAGCACTCACAGGTTGATATTTTCCATTATAACGATCAATTTTAAAATCCGCCATAAGGGCCCTTTTGTCAATTATGGTCACATTTCTTTATACTATGAGCCTCATCAACTACAAAGGCTACTAAACGCATACACAGGGACTCACAACAAGAAACATCTGACAAATTCTTATTTAAAATAACTTCTGGTGTTGTAAAAATAATCTGGAAGTTCC